CTCTCTCTCTCTCTCTCTCTCTCTCTCTCTCCTCACCGTGAACGTTTGACCGGTGGCTCTCCCCCCTGTGACGACGACTGGGACGACTTTTCTAAACCTGACTTGTCTCCCTTGTCGTTATCTCCCTTGTCGGATTTCTCGATTTTGATTGGCCCCTCGGAAGAGTCATCCGGGTCGTCTCCTGGTGGGAAATACAAACAAATCACTTTTTAAAAACAATTTTTAGTCAGAGTTTTACGGCACTTTCAACCCAAATAGGTGACACGAAGTGCAGAAGATAGAGGTGTTACTAAATGGATTGTAACTTGTAACCAATGTAAACTACCGCTCGCTCAGCGAGCCAATCACAATCCAACATTTTTGGATGTAGACACCATGACTACGTAGACCCCAATCGGGGAGTACGTAGACACTTCCTTACTAAATAGTTTAGTTTCCGGTATGAGTTTTACAGCACTTGCAACAGAATAAGGTCGTATAAAGGCCAAAGATAAAAGGTGTTACAAGAGAGTAGCAAACGCGTACAAAAAAGAGAGGAGAGATAAGAATCACAGAAGTTTGATAGAACTGATCGAAACTTGAAGGAGCAAACCCAGAGGCTAACATACAAAGAAAACCAGAAAGAGGAGAGATAAGTTTTAGTTTTAGTTTTAGTAGAGGGTTTTACGGCGCTTCACAACTGCATAAGGTCATATGAGCGCCAGAAGATTAGAGGAGTTACAAGAGAGTAACAAACACAAAAAAGAAAAAGGGGAGATACATGGACGATAGATGTTTGATAGGAAAGAAGGAGCACACCACACCAGACCACCCGCCAACCACCCACTGGTAGAGGTTTGATAAAAGAGAAGTAGCAAACCACACCAGACCACCCACCAACCACCCACCAACCACCTACACCAGAAACAAAACAAAACAAAATAAAGCAAACAAACACAAAAACAAAAAACAAATTTGTTACCAGGATCTAATGTCAGGCTTCCATCCATTTTAAAAAAAAAATGTTTTGTTTGTTTTCGTAAGAGTTTTGCTGCACTTGCAAGACAATAAGATCATATACGTGCCAAAGATTAGAGGTGTTAAAAGAGAGTAACAAACACAAAAAAGAAGGAGGGGAGATAAGAACGATAGATGCTTGATAGGAAAGAAGAAGCAAACCACACTAGAGCATCCGCCAACCACCCACCTCGGGGGCTGTATGCCATAACAAACAAACAAACAAACAAACAAACAAACAAACAAACAAACAAAAATTCAAACAAATAAATCTCTTAAAAGGATCAAATGAAGGCTTTGGCGGGTCTGAAAACGGCGGCTGTAAACCCTAACAAACACACAAACAAACACACAAACAAACACACAAACAAACAAACTTACAAACTAACAAATCAACTAACACAAAATCTCCCACCTGGATCAATAAATGTAGGCTTGGGTGGGTCTGAACTCAAGGGCTGTATACCATAACAAAAAAAACAACCAACCAACCAATTCAACCAACCAACCAACCAACCAACCACCAACCAATTCAACTAACCAACCACCCACCCAAACCAACCCACCCACCAACCAACCAACCACCCACCCAAACCAACCCACCCACCAACCAACCAACCACCCACCTCAATCCACCAACCAACCAACCAACCAACCAACCAACCAACCAACCAACCAACCAACCAAACCAACCAACCAACCAACCAACCAACCACCCACCCAAACCAACCCACCCACCAACCAACCAACCACCCACCTCAATCAACCAACCACCAGTAAACCACCCACCCACCCACCCACCAACCAACCAACCAACCCAAAACCTCTCACCTGGGTCAAAAGTAGGCTTGGGTGGGTCTGAACTCTGGGGCTGTAGGCTGGAGGGAGCGCTCACTCTGTCCGACATGCCATGGTGACCGGGCTGTGGGGAGACAGACAAATGTTATCACATGATGCAATGGTCATATCTCTCTCTCTCTCTCTCTCTCTCTCTCTCTCTCTCTCTCTCTC